GAGTTTTAACAAGCCCCGGACAAACAGTCCTCACCAGGATTAGGCAAGACCGTTTCCTGTGAAAACCTAGTGCACTGAACTCACTCAAAACCGGATTCTTTTTTCCAACTACAATAGAGAAATGTCCCTACCTGTAACTCATAGAATTCCTACTGTTGAGAAGGCAGTCCATCATTACAGTAGCAAAAGATTCCTAGCCTGCTGGTCATGCAACCACCCAACTCCCATCAAAGCCTCCCCACACCAGGAGCACTCCAGCCAGCCAGAGAATCCACTTCTGCAAGGGCAAAGCTGGATTTCCTTTTGAGGCGGTTCCTGCATGCCTTAGCACCATGAAAAGCTACAGAAACCCTCCCAGAGTTCTCTGGGTGAGAGTCGAGGGATGTGTGACAAGGGAGTGAGGAACACACTCTGTAAACATCCCCAACCTCACCACATCACTCCTAAGTGCACTCAGGTAGTCCATGTGGCAGAATACTCTATAGGGCTTTTTCCAAAGGCTGGTTTTTCAGAAGCAGATCACCAAGCCTTTCTTTTGAGGATTCTCTAGGACTCCAACCTCCAACACCTTTTGATTAGCAGCTAAGCAGGTTAACCATTTGCAAACTCAATGGCATGGAAAGAACATGGACAGGAATTCTCAGAACAATCTCTTTCCATTCTCAACTTGACTCTGCCACCTAACAGCCTTGTTAACTTGGGATAATTGTTTAACACTTGGACTCAATCTCAGCTACATAAAAATATTCTCTACTTTATGTGGTTAAGGTGCTCCGGTAGCATAGTGGCTTATGAGCTGGGCTGCTGACCGCAAGTTCAGTCATTCAAATCTACCAGTCGCTCCTCGGGAGAAAGGTCAGACTTTGTACTGGTGTGGCGCTGTAGGATAAAGCACTAGACTGGAAAGTCATTTGAATCACAAGGTCTGTGGTTCAAGCTTATCAGTCGCTCCTCGGAAACTCTATAAAGGGTCAGTATGAGTCAGAACCGACACTACGGCACATAACAACAACAACAATAATAAAGCTTTATAGTCTCAGAAGCCCTACACAGGGTAGCTATGAGTCAGAACTGATTCCACAGCACACCACCACCACCTTATGTGATTGTGTGGAGACTAAATGAACCACTATATGGGAAATGGTGGACAGGTTAAGAACTGTACACATGCTAGCTGAAGTTACTTGCACAGGACTAAATGTGTTCACACAAGCTAGGTCCATGAGCACACTCAAGAGGAATGACATCATTTGGTTGTATTACATGAGTTCATCTGATCCTGGTGTGGCGCTGTGGGCTAATGTGTCAGACTGCAAAGTCGTTTGAACTGCAAGGTCGGTGGTTCAAGATCACCAGCTGTTCCTTGGAAACTTTATACAGGGTCACCATGAGTCGGAATCGACTCGACAGCATTTGACAACAAAAACAACAACAACATCTGAACAGCAAAATATGAACAGACTTAGTCTAGTTCCCAAATGACATACATCAATAATAGATTGCATCAGAAACATATGGAGCATTTGTAAAAATACTGATTCTGGAATTTTCTCCCAAACCCACAGAACCAGAATCTCTGTGATAATGTCCAAGAATCTGCATTTTAGCAACGCTCACCAGGTGGTTCCTGTTTAGAACCACCACACTCCTTTAGACATGCCATGGAGAATAAATTCGTTTTGGTGCTACCCCCAAGAAGGGATTTCTCTCTGTCTCTCTCAGTCTCTCCTCAGATGTATATAATTAAGCTACAGATGGACACTCATCTGCCAGACACAAAAAATACATCCACAAATAGACACATACCTGTGGACATATAAAATAATATAGATGAAAAGAGGAAGGGGAAAAATACTAATGAAAGAGAAGGGAGACTAATGATAAGAGGTATCAAAATTTATAAGGTCAATCAGAACTCATGAAGGAGCCCTGGTAACGTGCCGGATTATGAGATGGCCTGCTAACTACAAGGTCAACAGTTCAAATCTACCAGCCGTTCCGCAGGAGACAGAGGAGGCTTTATGCTCCCCCAAAGATTTTCAGCCTTGGAAACCCTATACAGAGGCCTATGAGTTGGAAAAGACCCATGGCACAAAGCCACCACCATCAATTTAAAGGAAAATCCAGAAAAAGGGGTGGTGGAATTGAATAAAATATTAAGACAAAGACAGCAAGTGATCAAAATGAGAAAAACCACTCTTCTGGGATCCCACACCACCACATCTACCATCTGCCATCAAGTCGATTCCAACTCATAGATACTCTAGGATAGAGTACAACTGCTCCACTGGGTTTCCAAAACTGTAAATCTTTAGGAACAAACAGCCTCATCTTTCTCCCGAGTAGCAGCTGGTGGTTTTGAGCCACAACCTTTTAGTTAGCTGCCCAATGTTAACCCATTGTAGCAGGCACTTCCACTATGCCTCAGCCAGAAATTTTGAAAGCCTTCCTCCAAAAGACAGGGACACAGTGTGCTCATCATAGGAGCCTCCCAAGCCAAGGACAGGCCCTGACCTATGGCTGCATCCAATAAATGTATGTTAAACGCACATCAGGATAAGAAGAGTCAGAAAAGGAGGAGAGACTACAAAGTTGAGTGTGCAGAGAAGGAAACACATCTCTTGTCCCTGATCCCTGGTGTAAACTAGAATAAGTAAGCTTAAGGTAATGAGTTTCAACACAAACCAGAGAAAGTTCATGTCCCTGCAGGCATCATTAACTGCATCACAGGGAGCAGAAGCAAACCAGGGAAAAGAAGAAAAAACTCCAGCTCTATGGGAAGGGCTTGAGGTGAGTGAGAAAACTGATCCACTGCTGCAACGGCTATTTGAAGTCACTAGTCTGCACCATTTGCCTATTCAACACCCTTAGACAGCCCCACAGTGCCTGCCCACAAGGTCCTACATGATATGACTCCTAGACTCATAAAACCTCCCAGACTCATTTCAGCAGTTACCCACATACTTTACACCCAAATTATGCCAAATTCACACAGCATGCTGCGTCATTCCTCTGAGCCTGTTTCCTGGAGTTAACCGAATACTCCACTGCTGACTGCCCTGCAAACCTGTTCCTCCTTCTCAACTAACTTCTTCCAGGAAGTCCTCAGGCTTCCATGAAATTGAGCCATCTTGCTCCCCAGCAATGGTCCTGGTTCACTTACCAGAATCCCACATGAACCCCATCCTCAGGGAATAAGTACTACATTTTTGTAACCATGGCTCTTAGCACACTGCTTGACACATTATTGTTGTTAAGTGGCATCCAGTACGGTTCCAACTCATAATGACCCTGTACAGTGTTTCCAAGGAGCGGTTGGCTAGTTTGAACTGCCGACCTTGTGGTCCCTCGTTTATCCTACAGCACCAAACCAGGACTCAACCTGACACATGGTTGTTGTTGTTGTTAGGTGCCATCGAGTCGGTACCAACCCCCTAGTGATCTTATGCACAGCAGAATGAAACACTGCCGGATCCTGGACCAACCTCACTACTGTTGACACATGGTAAGTGCTTAATAAATGTCTGTTGAACTCAACTAAGTATTGACAAGCTTCCAAAACACAAATGCCAGAAGACTTAGTTAAAATAAAATTTGTGAGATACCTTAATATAGTGAAACGATCCTGAGTGTCCTAGGTCTGAGATCAAATTAGTCAGTAGCCTCAAGGCCCATTCTGTAAAGTCTCTGAACCAGTTTCCTAATTTATAAAATGAGAATAATACCGCCAACTCAGACAACTGCTTGTGAAGAAAGTACCCACTAACTATTTGATACAAAGTGGATACTTTACCACATAGTAGGTCCTGGTTGTGCAGTGGTTAAAATCCTCAGCTGCTAACTGAAAGGTCCCGGTCAACCCACCAACTGACTCAATCTAGTTCCATAAAGGGGGAAACCGTAATGGGCAGTTCTACTATGTGCTACAGGATCACTATTAACCAGAATCGACTAGATGGCAATGAGTTTGGTTTATTTTTCTTTGGTTTCGGCCCGCTGTTCGGAAACCCTATACAAGGTCGCTATGAGTCAGAACCAACTCTAGAACACTTGACAGCAATAACAGCATTACTTGCTCGTGTAGCTCTTCCTCTCTCTCCCATTCTCCCAATTCCACCCAGGTTTCCAGCATTCTGCTTTTCACTAGAAACTCCTAGGGGTCTTTTTCCTATCCCAGCTAGCCAGGAATTCCCCCAAAGATCTCCTTCCATGCCCCAGTACCAGGTCTGTGGCAGGGACAGGAAACTAAAGAACGGGTGTCTAAATCTAAGGGTAAGAGTTAGCCGTAAGGGAAATCTTGGCTCCACTCTGATGAGCTAAATGGGCAGGAGTTAGAAAAGCCACTTAGGATTCCCATTTTCCCAACTCCCTACCAATACACGAGTGTATTATTACAGGAGAACTTTCAACTTCCAGTGCAGCCTAAGCGCCCAGGAACAGTTATAAAGCTGGGGTGGCAACAGGCGGGGTGGGGCCCGGCCGCAGCCACACCGGAGACTGCAGGGCGCTTGCCCGCGACGCACACGCGCGCGCGGCGCACCGGGGGCCTCCAGCCTCCCCTAGTCGGGCCTGGAAGCTGCGGGAAGGAGGTCAGCACAACCGCCAGACTTCAAGCTTGAGCCTGCACAGGCCGTGCCACCGAACCAAACCTCATGCGACTATCTCGCGGTGTCCACGGGCCGCCAACCTTCAGCCGCAGCGCACCTTCCGCCCCAGCGCACCTTCCGCCCCAGGACCCCGGGCGCGCTGCTCAAGTTGGGAGCCACGCTCTGCCAGTCAACGTGCGCCCACCACCCACACTCACTCACACACATCGCGGGACCAAAGATGCCCCCGAGCTTTTTAAAATCCGGAAATAGCCCATGGTAGCCGTGTGTGACGCCTGGTTACCTGCTCGCAGCGCCCAAACCCTGGCCGGGGCCTCCCAGGAGCCTGCAAACCCGGCGCGCGGACTGCGCGCGCTCCAGCAATCCACTACCCCGAGTGCGGCCAAACCATACCTTGGGGGTCTGCACTTCAGGTCCCGTCGGCACTTCCAACTTCCTTTTGGTTACCCAGAAGAACAGCAGCACGGTGATCCAGAGTATCCCGAAGATGGGCAATGCCAAGCGGCGGGTCAGGCGCCGCATGGTTCCCTTTGCCTTCTCCTCTTCGAGACGTTACGTCCCTGGGGCACCCCCAGGCGGTGAGGGTCGGCGGGGCAGGAACCCGGGATAGCGCCTCACTCTGGGATGCGCAGACCCGGGATCAGGGTGGAGGAGCTGCGGGATCCAGCAAGGCGCCCCACCCGTTTCTGAGGGAAACGAGCAGGGGTCGGGGTATGAGGCGCCCTGGGGCGGGGCAGGCGGGCTGGACGCCGGCTTACCCCGGGAAGCGCGGCGGCAATCGAGATGTTCCCCACGCTGCCGCTGCCACTGCCGCCGCCGCCACCGCCACAGCCGCCGCCGCCTTGCAGACCGCGGCCGAGAGGGAAACTGACTAGAGCGGCGGAGAGGGAGCAAGCTAAGGCTGTGCCCTACACTCCGGGAGGAGCACGAGGAAGGCGGGACAGTAGGAAGAGAGGATGGGGGCGATAGGGGAGGGCGGGAGCCGCAGACAGACCGACTTAAAGGAGTCCTGAAAGGGGGCGCTACCGCCGCCCGCCGACCGAAGAGCAAGGTGCTATTCTGTGGCCGCCCGTGCCAAGCCCGGGTGGTAGCTCCGGGGCCATCCTGGGTTGAAGCGGGAAAGGTGCAACGGAGGATGCCCGCCACCCCCAGCAGCAAGCTGGGACGGAAGGCCCCGCCCTCCCCAGGCGGAGCTGTGCCTGGGAGAACTTTCCCGCTCTCACTGGGGTGCACGTGGCGATCACACCGGGTCCGCCTTCCCTGCGTCCGCCCTCCAGGAGTCTCGGGTGTTGGGGCGCTAGCAAGGCTGCCCAAATCCGGGCTCATTCTTAAGGCTTTCAGAGCCAAGGTCGAATTCAACCAACTCCCTATGGTGTTCCTATGCCTGCCTGCAGGTGCCTGACAACTTTTTCTGCTTAATGGAACGCTGAGCCGATCTAAATTTAACTTTAAAGAAATTCTTTTACAAAATTAAAGTGCAATTATCTCCCTTAAAGATTTTCTCGCCCTGCAAGCATCAGGGCTCTGAACTTGCAAGAAAGGGATCTACAGTTGGGTCAACCACAGAGGTTTATGAAAAGTGACTCTGGACAAGGGAATGCTGGATACAGAGGATTACTTTTCAAAAGCCCTTTCCCAAATGCCTTTGGGAAGAGCGTCCTTCCACTTCCGGATTTAAACCACCTTGGTCTACAGGTGTAAACAATTTCTGAAAACCATCTTCATGTAGGCCTCAGCTAGGCTAGAATAATAGTGGTATCACTAGCCTATAGGTCCTACAGTATCAGGGTGCCACAATGTTCTAAGTTCTTGATTAATTGACTGGTTGGAAGTTCAAGCCCAGCCAGAGGTGCCTTGGAAGACATGCCTTCCAAGTGTGTTGCTGAAAGATCACAGCATTGCAAAGCCTAAGGAGCAGTTCTACTCTGTACACATGAGGTCACCATTCGTCAAGAATAGACTAGATGGTAACTAGCAACACAAAGGGTTCTAGACCTGGCTCTGCCAAAGAGTTCTGCCACTTTTGAGCAAGTCACTTCTCTTCCCTGAGCCTTCGTTTCTGTGTCTGTAAAATGGGGATAATACTACCTTCTCTAACATGAGTGAATCGTTCTGAAAGTTTAATCAAGGTGCTGGTATTTTCTAAGAGGATAAGGAAATGCCTCAGGAGCAGTGGCTGCTGCAGAACTGTGCCATCTTAATGTATGCAACTGTGTGGTCAAGTTTCTTGGGGAGACAAGAGTGATGTGCCCACTACTTCAGCCACCATGCCCCTGCCTCTCTCTCCCTATAGAACTCAGCACATAGAGATGGGGTAGGTATAAAGAAGGGCTCCGGATTTCATTCTCCAGGGAAAAGGAGTCCCTAAGAAATGAAAACATCTATTCAAAGTCTCCTATGTTTGGTGCCTTGTCTCTCAGTTTCTCCGGGGACTCTCTCATAGACCCAAAGAGTTCTTGGTCAGACTGTAACTAAGTTTTTGGTGGGAAACAGCAGTGGAACTCAAATAGCCCAAAAAAGCTGAACGTTCCTGCCAGCCCATCTCGAGATTCAGCTGAGCTCTCAAACTATCACACAGAACCCTGGGAATTGTCAGCATTTGCCTTTATTAGAACTCTATCCACTGAAAGGTTGGGGTAAGCTCCCCAGCTACTGTTCTGGTCAGAAGACAAAGCTGCCTGGTGCCAGTGGGTGGGGGCATGGAGGGGTGGATAGCAGAAGCAGACCTGTAAGTTCTGCAGCATGTGCATGGGTCCTTGATTCCATTTTCCCTTCTCTTCCAGGATCCCACCCTGGAACTGCAGACTTAGGCCTGAAAAGCATCCTGCAGCTGCCTCTGCAGGGGACCCCCAGGCAAGCTGTTGAGATGCTGTCAGCTCCAGGCAAGGGCTGCATCTCGGCAACACTGTAGTCCACTGCTCAGCGCTTTGTGATGCTGCCTCTGAGTAACAGATGGCAGACAGTTACACAACACCACCGCCAAGCTTTCGAGATGGTGCAACACCACACTGCCTGCTGCTGCTAAGGTGCTGAGGAGCTTTATTCTGACAGTTTGGCATCTAGGGAAACTGAGACCCTACACTGAGGCCTGTAATACCCAGGAGAGCAGAGATTTCATTCTGAGGTGTTTGTTTCTTGAATCATTATTTTGCCCTCCACTCAAGTGAAGAAGATCCCCTGAGTCTATGGAAGCTCTCAAGGGTATCCAGTGTTGCTAAGAGTCATTACCTGATTCAGCCAAAGGGCATATTAGTCTGGGTTGTCACACCAGCAACTGTCATTTAGATTGAAACAGATTTCAAATGGAACTGGAAACATCTAGAAGTCAGGTGAGTCTCCATGAAAGGCTCAGCCCTGCTGGTCTCTCTGGAGACCCAGCCTACACAGGGGTCTCTCATGCTCAGACAGATATTTAAAACTTTAATAACCAGCTTAAGTAATACAGAGTGCCATTGATCCCAGTAGGGGATTAGCTATCACTGGTGATTTATCCAAGCAACTCCCCCCCAAACCCCCACCTGCCTCTCACCTCAGCCTATATAGAGAGGAAAAGCTCCTTAGCCAAAGATTTAACATGGCAGAGAATGGGGAAATAAGTACACTCAGAATTAAGAAGGTTCTGGTACCCTCAAATGTATCTACTTCCTCTTCTTGATATTCTTAAGCATTTCTCATTTCATTGGGCCAGTTTCCCCCTCTGTAATGTGATGCTCTCTCAAAGGCCCTTCCAGCCCACATGTTCAGGGTTCTAACCTCCCTTGTCCCTGGAGGAGAACTCTTTTAGCCATCCCATTGTTGGCAAGTTCTATGTAAGCTGTTCTTTCCTCTCAGCCGAAGATATTAGAGAGAAAATTGGGTATTGGAGCAGATGTGAGTCATTCATGTTGGTATCAAAACTATAGAATCAAATCCATTATGGTCCCAGAAATCTGTGTAAAGCGGCATATGGAGTAAATGGAAGCTGGAAACAGAAGGGAGCTGTGAAGTCCTAAGGGTGTGCTCTCTGGCGGCAGCTTTTGCTGTGGATTTTCCCACTTTGCTTTCCTTTTCCTTCAGCTGTTCCCTTGTCACTCTCATTCAGCTCACTGCAGAGGCTGCAGCCTTTTGTTCCTCTTGGATCTGATTTCCAATGTCTTTCTTCTCTGCCCACTGCGTGACTTCAGTAATGAATGTGTATATGTAGGATACTTACGTATGTGTATCTTGCCATCTGCATGCTCATTGGACCTGCTACCCCCAGCAAGATGCTCTCTGTGACAACCTAATGAAATGACATGCACAGAGGCAAGGCAGTTTTCTGGTAGGTCTGTACCCTTCCTGGGCCATAAGGAAAGGTAACCAGTGGTAAGGCAGATTGCATCGAGATGATGAGATGAGATGCTGGCATGCTGGCCCGGCTCTGGCAGGGCGCCCTGGCAGCAAAAAGAGCGGCAGTGAGAATTCAGAGATGTCTGTCTTTATTCTACAGTAGTACAGACACGAGTCTTTGGGCCGACCCCTACAGTCTGCTCTATTCAAGTTCCAACTGCTCTATTCAACTCTCTTACTTTAAATAATACATCATCTCCTTTTCCTCTGTGTGCCTCTCCCTTTTTCTTGCCACTGTAGATCCTGTCAAAGCCGTTTGTCCTGGGTCTCCTGCAAGGCCTTTATCAAGTGAGTGATGCAATAGTTCAGGCTGCTGGTAAATGAGAATTAGCTATTACCAACCCTCTTACCGCCTTTCTTTGCCATCAGGGCACATCTTTGTCAAAAGAATGAAACCAGCCAGCCATTCCTCTTTATCTTTGACCAGTAGATGAGTGGTTTTTTCCTAAGGGATCTGAGAGTTCACCTTTCTGGATCTTTCTCTATCCATTAAACAACTCATTTTACCATCCCACTACCCTGATTCCCCCCTTTGTTTTCTTATTTGTTTCCTTCCTTCACTGTATAATTTGCCTCCTTGAAAAGGATTTATATCTTTGCATTTCAAAAGCCTGCTTCTTTCATTATTCAAAATGCCCTCAACTTTCTTTGCTCCTCACCCAACTGCCAAGTGTAAAATTCACTGCTGCTACAGTGATACGTCTTTGATGGCTACAGAACATGATTTGATCTGTGATGGTACCCTGCAGTGACAAGAGCCATGGTCCTTCCTATAAAAGATGCACAGTTCTAACAGCATGAAGGAGCAACCCAAGTAAGTTAAAGAAACATGGAAGAAAATGTATTAACCTAAACTATCTAGAAGGTCCCTGTATAGCATAAATGGTTAAGTGCTCAGCTACCAGCCAAATGAAAGGTTTGGTGGTCTGCTTCTAAAAGGTCACAACCATGAAAACTCTATGAAGCAGTTCTACTTTGCAACACATGGAGATGCAACAAGTCAGAATCAACAGCAACTAGTTTGGTGCTTTGGTATTTTTTAACTAGCTAGAGAAAACTTAAAAGAGAAGAGCACATGCAGAAGAAGAAAGGAAGGGATCCAAAGACACACGTCATTCATTCTCCAGCCACATTCGGTAGCCATCTGCATGACCTCTCTAGATCAGACCATGTTCCCGTGCTAGCTGCAAGATTTTCACTGGCCGACTTTTTCAGAAGTAGATCACCAGAGCCTTCTTTCATATCGTCGTCTGGAAGCTTCTGTGAAATCTGTCCACTCTGGGTGACACTGGTAATATTTAAAATACACGTGATATAGCCTCTAGTATCATAGCAGTACATAAGACACCACAGTACTGCCAGAAACTCAAACCAAATTCAGAAGACTGATCAAAGATTATCATTGTTGATGTCAAATGGATCTTGGCTAAAAGTGGAGAATACAGGAAAGATGTTTATATAGCAACCCTGTACAAGGTTTCCAAGGAGCAGCTGGTGAGCTTGAACTATCGACCTTTCAGTTCAAATGGCTTTGCAGTCTGGCATCTTAGCCCACAGTGCCACATCAGGGCTGTTTATTGACAACAGTGTAAATAATAAGGATTCCAGAAGATTTCATTTTGCTCTTACAGAAACTATACATCGACCAAGAAGCAGTCATTCAGTTATGAGATAATTCATGCATTGAAATCAGGAAGGTATGTGCCATGGTTCCATCCCTTCCAAAACTTATTCAATCTATATTGTTGTTGTTGTTAGGTGCCATCAAGTCGGTACCAACACATAGTGGTCTTATGCACAGCAGAACGAAATACTGCCTGATCCTGGGCCAACCTCACTACTGTTGCCATGCTTGACTCCATCGATGCTGCCACTTGGCCAGTCCATCTTGCTGGGGGTCTTCCTTTTTTCCTCTGACCCTCCACCTTACCAAACATGATATCCTTCTCCAGCGACTGGTCCCTCCTGACAATATGTCCGAAGTATGAGAGACTAAGTTTGGCCATCCTGGCCTCCAAGGAGCACTCTAGCTGCACTTCTTCCAAAACAGATCTATTGGTTCTTTTGGCAACCCATGGGACTTTCAATAGTCTTCTCCAACACCATAACTCAAAAGTATCAATTCATCTACAGTCTTCCTTATTCACTGTCCAGCTTTCGCATGCATATGAGGTTATGGAAAATACCATGGCTTGGGTCAGGCACACCTTAGTCTTCAAGCTGACAACTTTGCTCTTCACACTTTAAAAAAGTCTTGTGCAGCAGATGTGCCTAATGCAATACGCCATTTAATTTCTTCACTGCTGCTTCCATGAGTGTTGATAGTTGATCCAAGAAGAATGCAGTCCTTGACAACTTCAATCTTTTCTCCGTTGATAAGAATGTTGTTGATAAGAATGTTATGCTGTCTAAAGAAGATATTTGAAATGAACAAATCATTGATTTTGCAGAATTCTATCATGCAATCTCCAGCATCATTTCTATCACCAAGGCCATATTTTCCAACTAGTGATCCTTCCTCTTTGATCCCAACCTTTGCATTCCAATCACCAGTAATGATCAATACATCTTGATTGCATGTTTGATCGATTTCAGATTAAAGAGTTTGGTAGAATTCTTCTATTTCATCCTTACTGGCGTTAGTGGTTGGTGTGTAAATTTGAATAATAGTGGTATTAACTAGGCTTCCCTGTAGACAAATGGATATTATCCTATCTCAGACAGCATTGTACCTCATGACTGATCTGGATATGTTCTTTTTGACAATAAATGCAACACCATTCCTCTTCAATTTGTCATTTCCACCATAGTAAACCATGTGGCCATCAGATTCAAAATGGCCAATACCAGTCCATTTCAGCTCACTAATGCCTAAGATATCGATGCTTATGTGTTTCATTTCATTTTTGAAAACTTTCAATTTTCCCAGATTCATACTTCATACATTCCATGTTCCGATTTTCAATGGATGTCTACAGCTGTTTCTCTTCATTTTGAGTTGTGCCCCATCAACAAATGAAGGTCCCCTGGCTTTTCTCCCACAGGCTTTACTCCATTCACATCATCACGGTCAACTCTACTATGAGGAGGCAGTTCTTCCCTAGTCGCATTTTGAGTGCCTTCCAACCTGAGGGCCTCATTTTCCGGCACCATATCTGACAGTGTTTCTGTGCTATTCATAAGGTTTTCAGTGACTAGATATTTGGAAGTAGTTTGTCACTCTTTCTTCATAGTCGGTCTTCGTCTGGAAGCTCATCTGAAACCTGTCCACCTTGGGTGACCCTGCTGGTATTTAAAATGCCAGTGGCATAGCTTTCAGAATCACAGCAACTCACAAGCCACCACAGTACGACAAAGTGACAGACGAGTGGTGGATTCAATCTATATGCTGAGCAAAATAATCTAAACTATTTGAAAAAGAACGCAGTATAAGGATTGGAGGACGACTCAATAACAACCTGTGATATGAAGGTGACACACCTTACTGGCTGCAAGTGAAGCGGACTTAAAGCACTTACTGATGAAGATCATAGACTGCAGCCTTCAATATGGGTTATACTTCACAATAAACCA